TTGGGGGGGGGGGAGAGAGAGAAAGAAGAGCACATTGTAAACACGAACACAAGCACAAGGGACGAATCACTACCGTCCCATACCGACATATATTCCTGGTTTCCTCTCAAGAACAAACAAAAAAAAACAAAAACAAAACAAAAAGATAAACAGAGGTCACGGACACCGAGAGCATTGAGGCACACGACGCCGCCAACGATGGAAAAAGAAAGACAACGTAAAAAGGCATGTGACACGGCGCCACAATCAAGCATCAGACGACTGGGAGTCTAGTGCTGCATCTGGCAGATACACGACAAACAAGAATCACTCAAAGGAACGTGTGCAAAGGAAGATGGCCTGAAGGGAGGGAGTCAATGGCGCTACCCGTCAAGTCCGTCTCTCTGCTGGGATCGTGCTTAGCACGTTTTCTTGCGACGGAAGAGCAGGATGTGGGGCTCTGCGTGGATACACACAAGGGCATCGACGTGAGCGAGCAAGCTGGGGAAGTACGGAGGCCAAAGAGTAATTGCAAGCAAGGCCAGAAGGAAGAAGAAAAGGCAAAAAAAAAAAAAAAGGTGAGGCAAAGTAACATACCAGGGCGGTGAATCATGTAGTGAATCCAGCCTCGAGACTGCTGAACGCCGAGGTTGCGCCACTCGGTCTCGGTCATCAGACGGTCATCGGGGACATGGCGCGCAATAGACTTGGGAAGGATGACATGACTGAAGCGTGGCCGCGAGCGAGGCACACAGAACAACGTTAGCGTCAGCTGTGCAGCCAGGGCAAGAACGTGGTTGAACCAATCGTGGTGTAAGTGCGATGACCCCTTACCGGTACTCGTGCGTGTCGTCAAAGTACTTGACACTGTAGCAAATTTGGTCAGCCATGATGCCTGTTGATGGAAAGCGCGGCGCGCCGAGCCGAGCCGAGTGAGACCACGAACGGCCATTGACAATGGCATCCAACACCACACCCTTGAGGGTTTCCCTCTTTGCATTCAACCACAAATACCAGACGAACATACAATTCCACACACACACACACGTACGTACCGGCGTCGCAGATTCACTGGTCGTCGGGTCGTCGTGTCCTCGTCGACGCGTCCTGTTTGGCGGGAAAATGGCAACACCACAACCACCAGCAGCAACAGCAGCAAATGGTCAAGACCGTTGTGTTTTTTGTGCACAAAAACTTTCCCGCGAAAAATTTGAATTTGATTTGGTGAAAAGCGTGTATTGGTCAGGCGTAAAAAAAGAGGTTTTGTTGTATACAGAGTGTAGCCGTTCTCAAAATACCAGAATGTCTGACAATAAAGAAGATAATATGCTCACTGCTTTCGATTTTGCAAATACACGCCGTCGGCTGCTAGGGGCGGGCGAGGTGCAGCGCGTCGGTGGCCGCGGGGTTGGCGCAGTCGCCATCATTGCAGCAGCTGGAGCAGGGAAAGGTTTCGTTTTGGAACCAGAGCCGCTGGGTGGTCTGGTTGAACATCCAGGCGGCGACAGCGTCTTTGGCGCCGCGGCCGTCAATGGCGACGCCGAGGCAATTGGTCCAGTAGCCACAGTGGTGGTGGCACGAGTCAATGAAAGCCGCGTGTTTGCCGCCTGTTTGGAGGTTGAGGGTAGAGGTGAGGACTGAGGTCAGCCATTCACCGTACGGATTCACCTGGGCGGGGTCTTGGGAATGCAGGATTGAGCCGGTCTGGTAGGCATCAAAGCGGCCCTGCAGCGCGAACATGGGCGTCTGGCTGAAAGGAGCAGTGTATTGGGCAAACATGCAAGCCGTGATGTTCCTGACTGGGGCGTAGTGAGCAACACAGGCTTGATTGAGACCCGCAGTCGCGTTCATAAAGCTGTAAATCCAGCGGAGGCCGTTGCTCCAGGTCCCGTAGTCCATGAAGAAGCCCGAGTCGGGGAGTCCGACAACGTGGGCCTGTGTGGGGAGCATGGCGCGAATTCCATCAGTGTGAATCCATGTGGCGAGTCCACCGGCCGAATCACCGCCAATGATGACGGTATCTGCCCGATCCAGGCCTTCGTTCTGCAGGAGATCCAGCATGGAGGCACGTAAGATGCGATAGCCTCGAAAGTACATTTGGGTGTTGTTGTACTCGGTGGCGGTCTCGTTGTTGCCTACAGACACCAAGCCCGAGGCCGCGATGGCATTTTCAAAGCCAGCGCTCGTTAGTTGTAATTTGCGTGCCACGAAACAGGGCGGTGGTCGGGACACGCGCTCCTACCTGTGAAGCTGCCCCCATCGCAATAGTGGAACCACACAAAGTTCCAGTCGTGGGCCATGGGGTTTTGTGTAGCGTCTGGCACGGACAGAGTTCCACACCAGCGACTGTTGTTGCATCCATTAATCAAGGACATGTCCATGGTTTCGTTGAAGCCTGTGAGATACCCAAGGGTGAGGTGTTGTACTGAGTATCGTTTGCTTTTGTCTCTTTCAGCTGCCCTCCCTGCGGCCGCGAGGAGAAGGAGGCTTGTATGCGGCTGCCTGCCATCTTGTCCATACCAAAGCGACGATCAGAGCTGCCGAATTGGCTGAGCGATCGATCATAGCAGTTGTCCACGCTGGTGCACCAGGCGCCGCCCTCGATGTGGAAGTACCATTTGGTGCTGTTGGTCACAGAGGTGGCGGAGCGGATTGCGTAGAAGGGGGCCGAGCCATCGATGCACTTGGCACCCAAGGAGTCGACGGCCTCATGCAGCCACTTGCCACGCGCAATGTTGGGCACGTACGTGCCCGAGGTGACGGCCGCCACCAGCATCACCCAACCCACCAGGCGCGTCACCCGCTGACTCGCCATTTTCCCAAGGACAAAGATCAAGACAAAGTCGAGCGAGAATCGACAACGTCCAGCCCCAACGCGGTCTTGCTTCACCCTCTCTCTCCCTCTCTGTATGCGTGAACCACGGCGACCACGAAACTGGGTTTTCAGTGGCAAGGACCGGTGCGAGCACGAAAGCACGACGAGGCTCAACTGCAAACAAACAAACAAAACATCAACAAACTCTGTGTGTGTCATTCTGTTTGTTTTCAATCAGAGGCTATTTTCCCTACGTCTCCTGGTGTTATCCCTGGTATCGTTCTGTGTGTCATTCTGTACCTTTCTGGGTCTCTGCCTGAAGTCTCCCTGTCCTTAGCCTCGGACCTCCTGCCTCCCAGCCTCCATCTCCCCGCATATCAGCCGTGCTCTTCCGATCAATCAACCTTGATTGATCTCACGATCTCCGGTCTCACGATCTCACGAATTTTTTCCTTTTCTTGATTTTGATCGCATTTGTCAGACACATTTGTCAGATAAAATACGGTGCGTGAACCACAGCGCGCGCGTGCGTGCTCTCATGGACCTCGCCGTGACCATGAACCATTGGCCATGGCGATGGTGGGCAGCTTTGACAGGGAGGTCGTGATGGAGTGACATGGCATGTGTGTGTGTGTGTGTGTGTGTGTGTGTGTGTGTGGGCGTGTGAACGTAGGTGTGGTACGCGTGCATCAAGGAGGATGGATTCGACTTCTGCGCTGTGCAAGGTGGTGGCCAAGGAGGCCGTGCCGACCGAAGGGTTTCGCTGGATTCGTCTGTGCAAGGTGAGGACCCTAGGTTCCGTCGCGTCGCCAGGATGTGCCAGGGCCCAGAAGCTCACCTCCCACCCTGTTTGTAGTACACATGGCAAGATCCGAACGGACAGTCGCGCCCGTGGGAGGTCGTGGAGCGCACCACTCGAACAGGTCGCTACTTTTTTTTTTTTTTCTTCTTTGTCATCCGGCCTGCAGGGCGCTCAGCTCGCGCCACCCCAATGGTTGTTGCGGTACAAGTGGAATGTGTTGATATGGAGGCGGCGTGCTTTGCTCGTTTGTTTGCGTTGGTTGGTTCTCAGGCGAGATTGATGCTGTCTGCATTGTGCCCATCATCAAGCAGCGGGGGCGCGGCGACCACGTCGTTCTCATTTCACAGGTGAATCGCCGCTGCCTCAATCCTGCAAGCTGCCTGCTCGGGCTTGATTTCGCGGCGCCAAGGGGCCGTGTTTGCACCAGATCTGTGCCTCTGACCCTTGCCTGTACCGCTTGTTCAGTTTCGCCCGGCCACGGAGAGCTACTGTATGGAATTTCCTGCGGGACTCGTCGATGCCAACGAGACAACCGAGCAGGCTGCGCTACGCGAGCTGCATGAGGAATGTGGCTATGTAGGCGTGGTCACCCACGTCAGCCCTATTGTACACGTCGACCCGGGCATGTGCTCTGCCTGCATGCGGTGAGGCTCGTGTGGATCGCAGCACTCCCCATCCGTCAGCCCGCAGCCGCTCACTCATAAACCCCCTTAGCTATGTGACCGTCGAAGTGGATCTGGATCATCCCGACAACCAAAACCCCATGCCCAACCTGGAGGACTCTGAGTTTATCGAGGTGGAGACAGTGCCCGTGCGCCGCCTCCGAGCCACGCTCGAAGAGAAGATGCGCCAAAACTGGTCAATCGATGCCCGCCTTTACGGGTGAGTGGATCCCCTTTAAGTTGCAACCCAGCTGCAGCTGTTGTTCCCCACGCTCGAGAACGCATCTCACACCAGATGAATGACCTGCCCTAGCTATGCCCTGTCTCTTGAGGCACACCAATCGACCACCCAACAATGGCTGGGTCTGCTCTCATCGGCCGTCGTCGGCGCAACCGTTGCCGTGGCCGGCCTCTACTTTTTGCGCCACATCCGCTAGGATGACCCATGCATTCGACTCTCAGTGCTGCTTTCTTCTCGCTGCCATGGACCTCGTGTGCGGTGCCATCATTGAACCCCTTTCGTGGTGCACCTGCGGTGCTCGATAATTTACATGATAGTGTAAAGCTCATTCGTCCACCTTCCAGTCGGGCGCCGAGGCGGCGCAAAATGAACACAATGAGAGAGAAAAGGTATTGGGTTGAGCTCGGCTCAATTGCAGGCATGTCCATTATGTACCAAACATGGCATTATGATTTGACGACTAAAACGACGCTGCTTGTCACGTAGGACACAGAACAAACATCGCCAAAGGCTGCACAGCAGCAAACGAGAGCTCGGGCTGCGAGGTCAAATGGAAATCCTATGCATGGCAGACAGGGTGCAAGGGGTCGTGAGAAAACACGGACATGACACTGGCCACAAAGTCGAGAAACTCAAAAAGAGTTGAAGAGGAAGATAGAGAATTTAGGGAGCAGCGCCGGACAGATGAGCGAGGGCCACTCCGAAAAGCAACCCTCACTTCATCCGCCACACGAAAAGGACGCTGCCTGCCCCGGGGTTGTTATGGCGCCTGATTCTTCAAAGCCATCCACTCATGTTTAGAAAGGCTTTGTACACACTACAGCGCGTCGACTCGACTTTTGCCAGTTGGGCTGCCATTCGCCAGCCATCATCACACTCACCAGCGCAGACATCAAGCGCACCGCCAGCTCGCAAAAAGGCGGTCAGAGTCAGTGTTGGTGTCACTATCAGGACACATTCGATGTGCCATTCAAAAAACGACATCAACCCTGACCCTGACCGCCTTTTTACCCCGTGTGTGGGCGACGCCCGCGACAGCGTACACCGCCCGTGTGTGCGGCCCACCACGTGAAGCCGTTGAGTTCAAAAAAAAATAAAAAAATGAAAAAATCAAAACGACACGCTGGGTCTCAACCTGTATAGCTGAGCGTATAAAAACCAGGCGAAAACAATAAGCAGCATAATTGTCAGATACAATTGTCAGCATAAACCAACGATGTTGTCAGACGGTTTGCACGCCATTCACGAAGATGGCGGTCCTCATCGGGTTAATGCAGATGAATATAGGGTTATTGTAGAATCCCTACGCTTTTTAGTTGAATGTAGATTCGAAACCGCCACTAGTTTATGCATGTAGACAAGTAGTTGGTGTATAGACCAGAGCGGGTGTTGTGTTGGATTTTTCTCCCTCTCTCTCACTGGCTCCTCCAGAAAAACGAGACAGTTGAAACGGCAGCCGGGCGATGATGGTGAAGCAAACTGCAGTACAGCGCATGGCGCTGGTGGTACTGGCATTGGCCGTCACCGCTGGGGCCATGTCCACGGCCAAGCTGGCTGAGGGAGCCAATTTCCCTGGCCGACAGGGCTCGGTCTTGATGGTCAATGGTCAACCTATGGTAAGTCTCGCTCGGCGGAAGGGGGCTGGTTACTGGTTGCCGGCTCTGGTGCCAAGCGGCTAGTGTCATGGACACTGGGTCGCGGCCCTGCTCCCGCGCGTCTTGAGGGTGTGTGTGCGTTTTGCACTCTCTCTGTTTGTCTTCACCGGGTTGGCTTGGTCTTGGTTTTGTGTAGTTCAAGGCAGGCCTGGACACGAGTGCCGTTGCTTTTGGTAGCTTTGACGAGGCCGCCAACCATGCCTCAGGTTTTGGCGTGCTGAAGATTGAAACCAACCCATCGGCTTCAGACCATGACCAATACTTTGCGGCCGGCTTCCTCGAGGGCTTCCTCACCAACAAGGGCATTTATGATCAGTATATCAATGTGGCCTCGAGCATGTCCTCCTTGAATAACGGCATTCCCGAGCCTCTGCTCAAGTTTCTCGCCGCTCAATTCAACTGGACGCGCTCTCAGGTGGCCGCCAACCAGGATGACGTCTTTTGGCAACAGGTCAGAGCCACATAGTCCCTTTGACTCTGCGCAACCTGTCAAGCCTCATGTCAAGCTCATTCTTGTACCATTAAACTGCGTGATATCTTCAGGTCGGCCTTATTATGGCCCAATACGACGGTCTGCGTGCGGGTTACGGTGCCAACGTCTATGACAAACACGTGCTCCCCGAATTCGCCTTTCAACTTCTCAACGGCAACGGCGACTTTTTCGATATCATCCCCAAGGTCTGGCCAAATTAGCCCGTCATCTGCCCGCTCACGCACACGTGGCAAAGCCCGCGCTGGTATTACCGAGCCTGGCCGTGAGCATGATGCACCGTTTGCCACCTCCTGAAACTTGACAGGTGTTGCCCAGCGAGGCCGTTGACGTCACCAAGATGAGCAGCCGTGAATTCCACGACTGGCGCATGCGCAACGGACGTTGCTCCGCTTTGATCAAGCTCACTGGCGACTTTTCGGATCTGTTTATGAGTCACTCGGCCTGGTACATTTATCAAGCCATGAACCGCATTTACAAGCACTGTGCGTCATGTTGGGTGCCAAGTTGCCCCCGTTGTTGACTTGACCCCTGTTTTGTCGCTGGGGCCAGCTCCCAAGCAACCCGCTCCTTCACTCGCGCTTGGCATTGCTTTTCGCGCTTTGCAGACAACTTCCAGGCAACCATCACCCACGCCAAGAAGATTAGCTTCTCCTCCTACCCGGGCTACCTCGAGTCGCTCGATGACTTTTACCTCATGTCCAGCGGTCTTGTCATGCTGCAAACCACCAACAACGTTTTCAACACTGACCTCCAGCAGTACATCCAGCCCGAGTCCCTTCAGTCATGGATTCGCATTCGTACTGCCACGTGAGTAATGACTCGAGTCGCAGCCCTGTACTCTTTTTAAAACGGCGTCGGATTCTAGCTTCGTTGTGCGCGCGTGTGTGTGCATCAGCAGCCTTTTGCTGAACTCTCATTGCTTTCGCCTTTGTTGCTTCTTAATGTCAGGGCGTTGGCACAGACCTCAGAGGATTGGGCGGAGCTGGCCGGTCGCCACAACAGCGGAACCTACAACAACCGTGAGTGCGCCTTTACATCTTCCTTCGACATCCCTCCTTGTCCTGTCCCTGCGTATCCTTTTTTGGTGCCCTGGTCTTACGACGTTAACCGCCACAGAGTACATGGTGATGGATCTGAACAAATTCACGCCGGGCCAGCCGCTCTTGGATGGTACACTCTATGTGGCGGAGCAAATCCCCGGCACCTGGGAGTATGCCGATGTGACCAAGATGTTGTCCCTTGGTTATTGGCCTTCGTACAATGTTCCCTTCTTTGAGAAGATTTACAACCTCTCGGGCTACCCGGCTGTGGTCAAGCAGCACGGCACGGATGACTCATACGAGCTGGCGCCGCGCGCCAAGATTTTCCGCCGTGACCAGACTACTGTGGTTGATCTCGATTCTTTCAAGGCCATCATGCGCTACAATGATTACAAGAACGATCCTTACGCCAAGGGCGATCCGTACAACGCCATTTGCTCGCGTGGTGATCTCGAGAGCGATAGTCCCTCCCCTGGCGGTTGCTACGACACCAAGGTCACGACATACTCGATGGCTCTCAAACTGCAGAGCCAAGTCATCAACGGTCCTACGACGTCGCACGTAGGTCCCGAATGCCATGTTCCTTGATCGAATTCCCAAAGCGTCTTCTCATGCACACGCGTTGTTCTGGACGTTTTTTTTTTTTAGGGACTGCCGCCGTTTTCTTGGTCTCAGTTCCCCAACGCCTCGCACCTGGGCATGCCAGAGGTGTTCAACTTTACCTTTGAGGTGAGTCCTCTCGGGGCGAGCTTTGACTCTGGAGGAAGGAAAAGAGAGCCCTATCTTTTGCCGCCGGTCTCTTGTTTGGCTCATCTTCTCTGCTTTTCTCGTCTTCTCTACCAGACCATGGATGCGGGTTGGTAAGCCGTTCCAGACCATTCTAGGCGTTTGTACACAGACGCACGGCTTGAAAATCCGATGACAATTGCAGATCACAATCGCACCAGCTCAGATTTATTTTATTCTCTGACCCTTCACTTCACTTCTTCATCTAGCGCATCAGTCCAAAGCGAAGTGAAAAGGCCCCGGCGACAAACCCGCCAAAAATCACCGGCCAGGGTCCGAAGAAACTGGACACCAGACCGACCTGAACTTCGGTATAACCGACCGATTGATACATGGGTTTCGCCATGGGGCCCAGACTGGTCTCAAGAAATCCATACTCGATTGGGAACATAAACTGGGTAACCCTGAACAAGGAGGGAGACCCGGGGACCCCACTAGAATGGGAGCAAGAAGGCTCTATCACGTGCACGAGATTGGTGCGTGATGCGGCCGTCAATTACGGCACTCTGCATCTGCTGGAGGGGCCAGGTAGGGCAGTGTTCACTCACATTGTCTCTCTTGGATTGATTCTGTCAGCTGATCTTGCTGCGAAGCGAGGGAAGAGATGGAGGGGGAGAGCTGGAGGGGCAGAGCTGGAGAGCATGTGCGGTGAACATGTGAGTCTCAATGTCCTGAGGACTGGGACGATTGTTCATGCATGACCCAACCGCGTGACCCAGGACAGTGTATTGCTTGTGCATGGTTGCCTTCTCACACATACAAGAAAAGCAACAGCATCCCCTCAGCTGGGTGGCAGAGCGTGCGTGTGAGATGCCATGGGTCCGACGGCAGGTCACCACATGACTGAGAGAAGTCGGAAGGGGAAAGACAACCGGATGATAATGAGTGTTCAAGGGTTGAGGGTTACAGAAGCAAGTGGGATGAATTCGCGACCCACCCATGGGCTGCAATCAAGTGTGTGTGCGTGTTTGTGTGTGTTGGAGGGAATGATGGAATTGTGTGACATTGTGGTGTAGGGAGGTTGCACAGCGGCAGCGGCTGTTTGCGAGCGTGGCACGCAGCTGGCAGAAGCAAGAATGGTTATATGTGAACGGTGTGTGTGAACGTGGGACGACGGGCAAAGTTACTGTACCATCTCCCAATCAGGGGCAATGTCATGTGAATCGAGGGACACTGACGGTCATATGGCGCACCCGGGGTTTCTGGGGCGTCGGTACTTGTGAGTGCGGTCACTCATATCAATCGCGTCATAGTGTGGACATGCAGCGCCAGAGATGGGCTCGGGTCCTTTGAAAAAACCTGTGTTATCCGCCAGGGGCGCTGCCATCTGAGGCGGTGTGCCGTATGCTGACGACAGCGCGTGTTTCTGCGGATGTCGACAGTCTGTCGGTGTGCGCGCATGATGCGTTCATTTGAGATGACTGGGCATGACGAGGGATGAGCTGTGCGGGCTGCTTGACTCCTTGCTCGTCCTTTTCTATCATCTTTATGAACAGGGCTACAGGGCTTGGCAGGAGCGTTGTGTGCCTGGAGTTTCGGAATATGTGCATAAGAGTGCCGGGACAAGCATAACAGCAGCTGCCCCAGGACGCATTGCGTGTAGCGTGCGCGTGGTCTATGGAACAGTTCTGGACGGCGCAGAGTTGCCCTCCCCCATCTTGGCTGACGTCAGCCGATCAAGGTTGATTGCTTGCTTTACAACCTTACAGCTCTTTCAACCCCTTTGACGCAAAGGGGCACGTCGAAGAGGAATAGACCGCCATGTCCTTTTGGTCCTGAAGCTTGGGACCACGGCGCAGGAACTCCAGTGTGCTTTAGGAAAGAAGCCCTCGCAGCAAGGCAAAACAACGGTGCCGTACCGAACCCATCTGGTATGGCACAACAGCTCGGCACACATACCAGAGTGAGGTCGAACTTTGGACTATGGGATAAGGTCACCAGCATGGGAGCCAAATCGACACCCAACAAGAGTTTGCAAAGAGTTGGATGCTATGTAAGGTTGAAGACCTGATGAGTGAAAGCGTGGGCAAGGCGTGCGGCCCACGTTTCGCGCTTGCTTCCGGTCCTTGTTCGGGACGTTGTCGTGTCCGGGTCGAGTGCCCCGTGGAACCTTGTTTGGTTCAACCAATAATACACGGCAGCCTCTGCCAAAATTCTTGCATTAGGGCCCGCCTCCAATCAGAAAGAAGCGGGCATGCGGAAAGGGAAGCAGGTCTGCAACAGCGAGCGCCAGAGCGTCGAGTCCATGCTGTAAGATTTAGTTCTGGAGTCAGCTGCAGTCGGGTTGTCTTGCGCGCATGTTGGCCCTATGAGTGAAATTCAGTAGGGCTGGTCGCGGCGTGTGCCGTCAACCAGATGCGCAACTCTGGCCAATGTGTCTGTTCATGTTGCCCACTTTCAAGGCTTCAGTGTCGGCCCCGAGCCGAGACCAGGAACGGCGACATGATAGCCTGAAGGTCCCGACTGCGTAGTCGGCTATGGTTCATGATCCTCCGCTCTTTGATCGCCGAAGCACGCTGCAACATGCTGAGTTAACAGGCTGCAACGTGCTCGACAACAGGTGGTGTTGGGGGTGAATGGAGGGTATCGTGTGGTGGTCCATGACGCATCGTCTGTCCTGGGTTGGATCTTTAGAGCAGATTAGCGTCCTCATTCTTTTTGCATACCAGGCATTTCTTAACGTGCGTTGCACACATGTGAAGGTTGGCCCAACTTTTTGCATTGGGGACAGGTTGGGGCTATCAATGGTTTCGAAATGACTTCGTTACCCCATAAATTCTACCATCCCGGGGGTCAGAGCGGGTTAGGGTCACAGAACCACACGCCCAAAACTATGTTACCCGTGACAGGACAGAAATGCCAAGTGGGGGTGTCCGGCTGTTTTTGACCCTGAACCAGCAGGAGTTCGCGCCCCCCCCCTTTGATAAAGGTTGGCGCTGCACGCTTTCCGAAGTTCAGTCTTGCGTATGAAGATGTAGCTGGTCCTGAAACGGCCGGAGGTTAGGCGACTAGGGCTCCACCAGGGTGCTACCCGCTTCGGTGTTCTTGCTGTTACGCTGACGCGATGAACTCACACTCATGTCACCCCGTCGTCGTCTTGCATCCCAAAGCGCTTGCCCACTTGTTCGATGTCGTTCATTTCAGCCCCTTCCTCACGAAAGCGACAGACGCAGCGACGTCTCGGTCAACCACATGAGACAGAAGCAAGCTTGAGAAAAGCTTTCCCAACTCAGAATGGGCAAGGAAACAGCAAAGAGGTCTCTTTGTTCCTGCTGCGCCAAGCCCTCAAGGTTATCCACTTCCCCAAAAATCTTGCCTTTTTGCTAAAAAAGAGCCCTCGTTCCTGTGTACATCGCCTCGCCATGTGAGGGCTTTGATCGGGGCTGTCAGGGCAGTGGCAACGACGACCTCCACCCGCCAGGAAACAGCCAAAGCGTCCGTGCCATCATATCGCTGGCACTTTGATTTCATAAAACGCACACACTCACTCACTCACACACACACACACATAGAGGAACGAGAGAGACAGACCAGGGGGTTGTGGATTCCACCCTTTTCCCCCAAGCCAAAACTCACACCCAACTCTCTATCCACAATGATGTAGGCTTGTTAACCCCCACACATGCAATCCAATATCCACCTACTCCTTTTGCAAAAGCCACACACTCTGGTTTCAGGAATCGAGAACAAAAGGAAGGGTCATTAACAAAGAAGGGGTGAAGAGAGCGAGAGCGAGAGAGAGAGAGAGAGAGAGAGAGAGAGAGAGAGAGAGAGAGAGAGAGAGAGAGAGAGAGAGAGAGAGAGTTCAAGAGAGAGAGTGGCGGGAGGGAGTGGCATTTTTCTGCTCGTGACCGACTCTTTCACGTCGTGCTCCCTTCCGCCCCCTCTCCCCGGCTCCCGGCTTGATTCACTTTTGTGAGCCCCTCTCTCCCCGTGCGCGCGCTCTACTTCCTTGGTCGTTGATGAGATTTTGGAGATCCAGGCAACAGATCATTGGCTAGTGTCAACTTGATCATGCACTACTACGACGCTACCATGCCCGTGTTCGCGGACGAACCACCACCACACCGCCGCAGCCTGAGTGATTCGGCGGCCATGCCGCTGGCCAGCTCGATGGACTCTACGTGCTCGCTGGCCTCTTCTTCTTCCTCATCCTCCACTGCAAGCTCTCCCTCTTCATCCCCGACAACGCGGCCGCGCCGCAGCAGTCAGCTTCGTCGCTGCGAGTCGGTTCGCCACTCGCGCACGACCCTGACTCCCTTGGAACCTCACTCGCGTCAGCTGAGCCGCAGCCTCACGCAGCTGGATGCCATCCGCTCCGCGCTGGGCTGGGACGCCGCCAAGGCAGACAGCAACAAGTCGCTGCCCATCCGCCTGCCCGTGCCCCTCCTCATCCACTACGACATGGAGTTTATCCTCAACAACACGGATGAGTGGCCCGAAAAACTCCGCGCCACGCTTCGCGCCGGCCTCGAGGACATTGCTCGTGCTCGCGAGGAAGGCGACCTGCGCCTGCGCCAGAAGCACGCTGCCTTTCTGCAGAGCCAGATGAACCCCCGCTCGCGCCTTAACCGCGACCAGCAACACAGCAACCTGGTCGACCTCGCCTACCGTCTTCTCAGCCGCCTCCAGCTCCAGCAAATTGCCCTCCTCACATCTTACGGCCAGCTCGCTCAGGCCAACTGTGCGGGCGAGCTCGCTGCCGACTTTACGACGGAGCTGCAGTTCCGCCTGAGCAGCCTCAAGCAACACTTTCAAAATCAACGCAAGAGCTGGAACCAGTACGATCAGCACTACTTCCAACTCGTGGAACTCCTCCAAGACGACTAGGATGTCCATAGGCAGTTTTTTTTCCTTTTCTGTTCCCCATTATCATTATTCTTTCCTTTGTTGTGGTGTTAGCTCTCCCCTTTGGTCCCTCGCCGACCTCTTGGCAAGCTGGTCTTGCTTTCCCCCTTCCTCCCTCTGCCTACCTCTGCCCCCACACGCGGGTACCGTGTACCCTACCGTTGTGTTGCCTTCTTTCTTGTCTCTTAGCTTTTCTCCCCATGGGCGCCCCCTTGAGTTGCGCCGCGAGAGTTTCCTGATTATCTTTACCATTCAACCCGACTTTTCCGATTCAATCGACATTCTTTTTTTTTCAACTTCTTTTCAACCCTCTTCTTGCTTCTTCTCTCCTTGCAGCTTCCCCACTGATGCCACGGTAGGTGCCGGCACGGGCCGCGCCGATGTGCTTGCCTCAAGCCGCGAGCGACTGGCCTTATCAAGATGATGATAACCATTCGAGTCCGCTTGACTCCCCTCCCCTCGAGGCTTTCAGCTCCTTGAGACATACACAGACACATGCAACTCTTTTGGCCCGACGCAATCCTTCTCCTGTGGCCAGAGAAACCCTGGCCGAAAGCAACGTCGTGCCTTGTGATGGTCTCGATCTCAACCTGTCCCTGCCGGTCCATCACAACTGTCAAAACATGTCACCAATGGGCTCATTCCTCCAACAGGCAGGGGGTGGCTGGTGCAAGCGACGCGCCCTCTTCGCTGAGGCGAACCGCATACCTTCATTGCCCAGATGCCTCGCATTGCCAGGCGCACAGGCTGCCATGTGCCCAAGCAAACACGCCCCGGCCTGGGTCAACAAGCACCAGTTCCAGTCCTTATCAGTCTTATGGCGCGCGCACGTCGGGGTATTGGTATGGATGGCTGTGATGGGATGGGCTCTTTTTTTTGTCCACAGCTCAGGATGCTAAGAAGTGAGACAGAGAGCGAAGAGAAGAGAGAATCAGAGAGAGAAGAGAGGAGAGAGAGGGAGAGAGAAGAGAGAGGAAGAGTGAGAGAGGATAGAGAAAGAGAGAAAGAGAAAGGAATCAAGAGAGAGAAGAGAATTAGAGAGCAAAAAGAGAGAGAAGAAGGCGAGAGAGAGAGAGAGAAAGAGATGAATTGGACAGAAGAGAGCAAAGCCAAAGTGAGACCAAAGTGAGACACATACCCAACAACAAGCTAAACCCCAGAGTAGTGTGAGTCGCTTACATCATGGCCGCCCCAAGCGGTATTTTTGGTGCAGGTGCCAAATTGGTATGGCAGCGCCATGGGCGCTCTGGGGAACTGGCAGTCAAGACCAACGACCGGTGTGTGATGATGTGAGCGGGGAACGACCGGGCAGAGCAGGTGCCGTGAAAAGGTAGACTTTCACCAACGAGCGACAGTCGCATCACGGTCACCCCTACTTTCCAAGCTCGCGCCATGTTTTTCGTTCTCTCGACGCTTCGATCATGCCGCCGAGGTGACGTCGGTCCCAGAACAAGGCGCCGGGCACGCCACCCACAACGTTGCGTGTAGCAGGGGTGCAGCATCTTCCCATTTCAAACCTTGCACGACAACCTCAACCGGCATCATCGGCAGCACCCTAAGCTACCCTGCCAACGAGAGCTGATGAAACGCCAGGTATGGATTTCGTGGTGGACCCCGAACCTCCTGTACCCACTGATCCCTTGACCTTACCCCTTGACCTCAACCATCCATCTACTATCAATTAAAAACCCCTCCGAGCCCGCCATGCAATGCCCTGGCCAAGTAGGTCGCCTGGTTTCTATCAACCAAAAGCATCCGGTCTGGTAAGGCCATGACAGGCGCTAAAGTCTGGGCTTTTGGGGTTTGTCGATTCGCTCAAATCGTGGTCGTGTCTTTGGGCTTCCGAGCCTCGCGCACAGAGGCTGTTGTCCAGAGTAAAGTGTTTGCTCAGCATCATCGATCAACAGGATTCGATCAACTCTGTCAAAACTCTTGTCATGATCGTCGTCTCCGTGTGCAATTCTTTTTGCGCCCGACGAGCCCCAAGCCCTGGCCAGTTTGCATACCGCGGTGAGTGATCAGACTCAAACTTTACAATGCTGATCAGCATTTTGTTGTGACTTTTGGGTTGTTCGATTCGGGGTTTCATTTGCCATCGCCTGCCCCGACTCCAATCAATGGACACACACAGACACACAGACAGGCACGCACATCCTGTAGTTGCGAGGGCGAATGGTGACAGCAGAGTAGGGTGCTCAAAAACACGGACACTGGCACAGGTACACAAAAAGCAAGCTAAACTGGAGAGGTCAAGTAAGTCCGTCTACCACAATAAAGGCAGAAAAAAGAGAGAAGAAGAAATGGCGCCGCACATGTAGATGCAAAACTTGGCCCAAGATGGAGAGTCAGCGTCCTTCAAAACGGCCAAGGAACATCGTCGACACAGTCGACAAAAGTGCAGCGGCGCACACGATCAAACAGGGTGTCTAGACTGCAAACCAGCCCAGGCCCACGGCTTTGCGACACTGCTCGAGGATCGGCGTCATGAGCATGAAGAGAGGACACAGGCGCATGGCCGCTGGCGTCCAACCACGGAACAGAGCCGCCGCTCCCTCGGTCCGGACAAGCTGCACGGCGCAATCTAAGACTGATTTGAAGCGGCCCGTCTCGGCCATGTACTGAGACTTGATAATGTCCGCGGGTGCCGCACACGTCGTGAAGCAGATGCCAGCCACAAAGGCGCTGAACACGTGCAACGGCAAACCCTCCTTGCCCAGAGGCCCAACGTTGTGTTTCTTGCACAAATATTTGCAGTGATCGTAGGACGCCACCTACAATGGGTGCGCAGAGATAGGTCCTAAAAATCAGCCCTGCACAGGCAAAAGCACAAGCATGATGCCCTTCCAAAAGGGTCAACGTACCTGAGCTCCGGTTCCCAAGGCAGCGCGTGCAGCAGTCGCTGAGGTGCCCTTGTAGGCAGCACGGATGCCCTCCTCGCGGAGCAAACGAATCAGGCCTTCAAAGCCGTTCTTGTAGCGGGGTTGGCGACCCTGGTACAGCCCAGTGACATATCGATTGTTCTCGATGCGGCCTGCCTCAGCCTTCATGCGAATCATGACAATGTCACTTGGGTTGGCCAACGCCGCACCAAAACCGCCCGTCAAGACACCGCAGACCCACTTGCGGGTCAGGCCGATATCTCCGCTTCCAGGTGACGAGGGAAACAACAGATTCTTCACAATCGGGTAGGCACCGTAGCGGATGGACGAATAAAACACGTCGCGATAGCAGGCCGACACAATCCCAGAGCCCCACAGCACCCACAAGCCCTCCTGGCCCGCAATCTTCGTCAGAGTACGCGTGAAGGAAGTGTATTGCCGCGCCGAGCCCTTGGGCACCACCAAGCTCTCAGCTTGCATGCGCACCTAAGCACAATGATGTATTGGCATGAATCATCATCAGCCGCCAGTATTGACCTGGATGTCAGCGCGGCTGGCAAAGCGTGTAGGGCTCTTTTGCCCCGGCCGAGCAGGCGCGCCTCATACTTTGATCACGTCAGTCCAGTTCATCACCATGGTACCACAAAAGGCGGTGCAGTAGCCTGAGCGTCACCGCACATGCCCATGAGAGCCAAGACCAATCGCTCTTCACGTATCAAGTCCACCAAGGAATAACAGCACAGGGCTAGCAGCCGGTACTTACCACTCGTGTACAGCTCACGAAACGCCCTAAGCACAAAGTCGCAACCCAATGGTGGCGAAACGTCAGTGAGCAAGGCGACGACTTTGGGACTGGGGCAGGCCACAGAAGAAATGCAAGGAAGAAGAGGTGGCCCAGGGAAAAAAGTTGTACTTGAAGGTGGACTTGCAGCCGAGGCAGAAGGAAGAACAAGAGGAAAAGAACGGGGTGGGTAACTCACTTGTTGGGGGGAATCTCATTGGATGGGCCCTTGGTTGCCACGAGCCATCCCAAGACAGCCGAGCTGCCTCCGAAAAGCGTCACCAGGGCCGCCCCCTCACTCATGGCGAGAAACGGGAACATGTTTTCTGGTTGTCGATGAGCGGAGTGACGGCAGACTTGAGTTACTGGGCGACGCACGTCGCACACACCGCGACCACAGAGGGCAGCGTTGGCGTGTTGGGGCTAGAGCAGCAGCAGAACGCTCCAAGTCCCAGCCTCACTACAGAAATCAGGTCCGACCGAGCACACACGTGTTCAGCTGTGACACGAGCAAACAAGCATGTGCAAAGCCGATAATTGTTGCAAA